CTAAATCGGCCAATTTAAGAGATACAAAAAAGTTATTTTCACCACAGTTGCTTGAAATTAGCTCAGCTATAACTTTGCCCAAGAATGTATACCTTAATTTATTCAAACAAAAAAGTTAGATTTTTGATTTTAATGATAATAGGAACCACCCTAGAATTCAATGTCATAAAAATGAGGGCCTAACTATAAGGAACAAGTTTGTAGAAGAGACTTTTAGTCTAAAGTTTCAATTTCAGGCTCAAAACATATCATTCCAGCTAAATCTGCATTCTGTACCACTGTGCACTGGCCGATGGGGGAAGAGCGAGCCCCCGATCACCATGTCGTTATTGCCACAAAATTCTGCAAATAGCTCACCGTTCTCGCTCATTTCGCCGAGACCATGGCGTCCCATGACACACTTATAGTCCGTGTTGTCGGAGCCGATCTTCGCATTGAAGTCGCCAGTGTAGATCTTGATGTCACCCTTTGGAACCTTATCCACGACGGCATTCAGTTGACTGTAAAAATTCTCCTTGTCCTGTAGCTCGGCAGCATCGGTTGGCGCATAACATTGGATTATGGTAAGGTTACGAACCCGTGTTCTAAATCTGGCAACGATTATCCTCTCATTAACAGGCTCCCACTTGATGAGCGCAGCACTTGTCTGGACGCCAACTCCACGATGGCGGGGAGCATTTTCACCTCGAATACCAGAGTATAGTAGTACCTGTCCCGACGGCAGTTTGTGTTCTCCAAAGTTTGGCCAACGAACTTCACTCAGTCCCAGGATTTTTAGCTTCATGCGTCGCGCCTCGTTGGCGAGTTGTGCCAGTTTACCCTGCTGGGCTAACGTCAATACATTCCATGATCCAATTCGTGTCCGTTGTTTTGCGCTACAAGTCGTTGCCGTTAAATCAGTTCGATGCCTTTCTCTGTTGGTTTCTGTAACAACTGTAAAGGTTTCAGAGACAGTAGGTGGTTGGCCTAAGGTCTCCTGTCCACCGTGATGGGGCTGCCATCTTAGGTGTAGCTTCCGGGGAAGAGCATTTTTTATTCAGCCGCTGGATGCCAGTCAGACGCTGTTTGAGCCGCACCTCCATGGTGAACAGACGCTGCGGATTGCTATTTCTCCCACCTGAATAGCAACCCCCGGTACGCAAGTAGCATTATGGTAGAGGTTGGTAAATGTGCCTTATTTACTCATTGGTACGGTTGCTCTAAGACTAATTTGGACGGAGGTGAGGAGAACAGGGTGAGAGGTTTCGGAGCCAAAATTCACCGAAGATGGTCTGCAGATTGAAGAAAGCTCTTTAGCAGGCAAGCAGGGTGTGGAATGTCAAGCTGGACCAGAAACTCAAACAAATGGGACTGAAGCGTTCGAAGTTCGACAGGTGTGTGTACAACAAGGAGGTCAATGGTAGGATTATTATCGTGGCAGTCTACGTTGACGACTTCCTCCTGTTCTCAAATGATCAAAGGTTGGTCGATGACGTGAAGCAGCAGTTGTGTGCTGAATTCCAGATGAAGGATTTAGGACAAGCCAAGCAGATTCTGGGACTGCGAGGACCCAGAACGGATGGCGCTGTTTCAATTGACCAGGATCGATAAGTGGTGTTCTTCTCAAAGAATAAAGAAAGCTTGAGTGCTTCTAACTATATGTTTATCCAGGTTGACATATACACTTCGAATCACTAATTTTTCCATCTCGGTCGCAGCTGTAGGTTGCTGCGATTACTTGAATGGAACATCGTGATTACTTGGATGGAACATCTCCCCTCTTAATTCATCCAGTACTCCTCTTCTTGCTGCTTAGAACGGTCGATGAGTCTTGACAGCATATCGGCGCATCCGAAGTCGTTGGTAGACACGTGCCGAATGTCGAAGTCGTAGTTGAGAAGCATCAATGCCCATCGTTGAAGTCGATTTGAGGTGTGCAAAGGAATGCCCTTCTTCGATCCAAAGATTGATAACAGCGCTTTGTGATCCGTGAGCAGAGTGAATCTGCACCCAAAGAGGTACTTGTGAAACTTCGTTACCGCATATATTAGTGCAAGTGCTTCTTTTTCCGGCTGCCCGTAACCTTTCTCCGCTGGAGTGAGGGATCTTGATGCGTACTGGATTGCCTTCAGATGTCCATTCGAAAATTCATGGAAGATGACTGCACCGATGCCCGTGCTGGAGGCGTCCGCTGCTACGATTATTGGTAACTTCGGGTCGTAATGCGTCAGCAACATATCGGACTGCATGACTTGCTTGAATTGCTCAAAAGACCGTTGGTAATTGGAATTCCACTGCCACTTCGAATCCTTCTTGAGTAATTGGTCGAGAGGATGACGAAGTTCATGGATGTTGCGCGCGAATCTGCCGTAGAAATTAACGGCTCCCAGGAACGATCGCACTTCGGAAACATTGGTGGGTGCCGGAATAGCGGCGATGGCTTGAAGCTTCTCTGGATCCGGACGGATGCCGTTTCGATCGACGATATGCCCCAAATATCTGATTTCGGTTTGGAAGAAATGGCACTTTTCCAGCTTGATATGGAACCCATTTTCCCCTAGACATTGCAGTAGCTTGTCTAGTGACGCCTTGTGTTCCTCCCAGGTTCTTCCGAAGATGATAACGTTGTCGAGAAACGACCGAACACCAGGAATGTCGGCTATCATGCTGTCAACCAGTCTTTGGAATGTTCCAGGCGCTGACTTTACCCCTGAATTGGAAGAGGCCTCGATGCGTGTTTATGGTGAGGAGCTTCTTCGATTCTTCATCTACTTCCACTTGCAGGTATGCATCGGAAAGGTCGATGATGCTGAATATGGCGCTTTCGTTGAGCTGTGCGAAGATCTCCTCCAGGGTAGATAGAGGATAGTGGTTTGCTTCAAGCGCTTCATTGAGTCCCGTGGAGTAGTCCGCACAGATGCGAACTTTACCATTCGGCTTGCGTACTGCTACAATCGGAGCGGCCCACTCTGAGAAATCGATCGGCGTGATGATTCCCAGAGACTGAAGACGTTTTAATTCTGCATCCACCAGCGGAATCGTGTTGAACGGATTGGCGTTAGGTTTGAGGAATAACTTTACCTTGATTTTCTTGCAGTGGCCCAGCGAGTCGTCGAAAACCGCCGGATGCTCGGCTTGCAGCTGTGCTCTAGCTTCGGCGAAACATGGTCTGGATACAGCAGAAACTTGATTGCAGAGAGTATCGAACGGAACCGACCACAGGTTGAACATGTCGATCCAATCAATACCCATTACGTTGAGATCTGGTGATGACGTTACGAAACACTGACCACGCTTGACCATGTCATTGAGGACTGCTTCACAATGGAATTCTCCGATGAGAGCGAGAGGTCCACCAGATGCGTTGGAGGCTTGGATCGATGATGGAGTTAGCTTTGGTCGTCTCAGTTGCTGCCAAGTTTTCTTGGAAATCACCGTGATATCACTTGCAGAATCCAGTTGTAGCGAAGTCATGACACCGTTGATGTTGATGGTCACATACTTGTGTTTCCGGTTGCTGTTTGCGATGTGCTTCACGAAAATTCCCTTGGCTTGAGATCTGGGACCGGCCTTCTTCTGGAACTGCTTCTTCTCTCGAGGTTGAGTTGAAGAGTCGCTTGAAGACTTCTTGATGCAGCTACAGTAGCCTTCTTTATGACCGATGCGGTTACATACCTTGCAGAGATGATCAGGAAATGGATAGTCACGGACGTAGTGCATCTGACCACACTGCCAGCATAGAGTACGAGGAGTGGTGCTATAGACCGAATTCTTCGAACGTGATGGATGTTCGATCATCGCAGTGTTCGACTTGATGTTGACGAACTCGTCGATCAGAGTCGCTGGAACTCGTCGATCAGAGTTTGAATTGTCACCGGAGCATCAGCCGTTTCACCTTCAATCCGGGATAGAAGCCTTGCTCGAATGTCCGCGTAGCGTGGTGCTTTGAGACCACAGACGAAAATCAAGCACTTAAAGTGATCAATCTTCAAATTCTGGAACTCTTCACATGCCCTGTTGACTTTTCCGCCATAGGTGATTATGTCGTCGGCCTCGGACTTGAGTAGCTGCATGCACTGGTAGCGTTTGTGGAATACGGAGGTCTGTCTGCCGAAGATCTTTGTGAGTGTCTTGACGGTATCGGCAAACGTGACGTCCTTTGGTAGTTTCGGAAGGATGTAGTTGACGTAGCGACTGTGAGAGGACGTGTCCAACTTCCGGAGCAGAAGCCTAACTTTTGCTGCGTCGTCCAGACTTCGTGCGTCGCTTTCAAACAAATCCGAGTAACGGGCAAACTATTTTTCGAATGTGGTGCCGTTCTCCAGATCGAAGCAGAACTCGCTGATGTTCGTCGACAGGGATTCCAAAACGTGCTCTGGGTTCGTTGGAACGGCCAACCGCTGGAGAAGCTGCAAAATCGCTGCTTGGAGTTCTGGAACTTGTGAGCTTCAAGAAAAATACTCGTCGCCAACTGAAGTGTTCTTCTCAAAGAATAAAGAAAGTTTGAGTGCTTCTAACTATACGTTTATTCAGGTTGACATCTACACTTCGAGTCACTAATTTTTCCATCTCGGTCACAGCTGTAGGTTGCTGCGATTACTTGAATGGAACATCGTGATTACTTGGATGGAACAATGAGTTACTCGAAAATTTCAGTATGAGCGATTGCAATTTGGTATCGACCCCGCTGGACGCGAACCAGCGCCTGCTGAAGATACCCACACGAATTGCCGAATTGCTTGAAAACTGATAGTACGCCCTTCGTCCGGGATGCGGACCGCTCTGCTAGAGTAACACTGATTTGGCCAAGAAGCGTTTCTTGAGAATGTGATATGCATTCCAGCTTCTAGCTGTTCCAGGTCTGCTCGGTCCCTGTCCGTTTTGCTGACCACTTCTTAGTGCTCTTTTCTCAGACGGTCTATTCTTCTCAGGGATGTTCTTTTTTGCCCTTTTGTATAAATCGCAGTATTTTTTAAGAAAACAATCTTACCCCGTAAAATGCTTCATTACTTGACTTGCACCCGGCACCACTTTTTTTTTATATAAAATTCTCAAATTTCCACCTACAGCTTCGGTTTCGGAGCGCTATTGGGATTAATTTTGTACACCAGTTTGTGAGCTTCATCGTAGTACGGATTGGTTGCCTCACGAACGCGTGCCATCCAAGCGGTTAGCTTCGGTCTTCCGGCACACGGATCAAATCCAGCCATTTCTAAAAAAAAAAACAAAAATTAGTGCCATATTCTGATCAAAACCTTAAAACATACTTGGTTGCTCAATTTCGCACGAAGCAAACAGATCCGCCACAGAAATCTCATCGCCTACAAGGAACTTATTGTTGCCACCAAGATAATCGTTTTCGATAAAATCCAAGCAATCCTCCATCTTCTGCTTGAGCTCTTCGGCCCGGTCCGGATTCACCTTGGTACCCATCATCCGCGGTCGAAGCCACATGTACTGGAAGTAAATGGCACACACGGCCCGGGTGTTGTGATGCTGCCATTCCAGATACTCGTCGATCCGGGCTCGCTTCCGACTGTCCGTCGGGTACCAATGTTCCGGGAATTTGTACTCCCGTGCAAGGTACCGCACAATGGCGACACTTTCCGCCAGGTGAAGGTCCTTGTCGATGATGCAGGGCGCTTTTTGGAAGCGATTGATCGCCTTGAACTCTTCCGTCAGATGCTGGCCTGATTGACGAGTGGAAAGTTTTCAGCGATGATCATTGATAACGCGAACGATGACCCTACCTTTTCCCAAATTGACGAGATTTCGCTCGTAGGGAATCTTGGTCTGCTCCAGAAAAATGTACAACATTCGACAGGGTTGTGACATAAGGTCGTAAAAGTACCGAAGCTTCGACATTTTGCAAACTTAGTTGGGAAAAAAATGCACGACTTCAAAGTTCAACTGCTCAATTGGTTCTGATAAGTCTGGCGAAGATTACCGCTGGCGATGTATGCAATTATCCGGCTAGCGAATACAAAACAAACTAATGCACAGGTATTGGCTTTGACACTACTACATGCACACGGATAGATGCGTGAGTGTAATCAAACCAAGATCGACACACACACATCATACTCAAAAATATGCCAAAAACACTTTTTTATGATGGATGTGATATCAAGACAAAACAACAACAGGTCTTAATTTACGACACTGCATTTCCAGCCCTCACTCCACCTTCGGGGTCTCAATCTCTTTCGGTGTAAACTTGTACAACATCTTGTGCGCCTGATCATAGTGCGGGTTGGTGGCTGCCCTCACCCGTTCCATCCAGGCTGCCAGTTGTGGTCGCCCGGCCCTGGGGTCGAACCCGGCCAGCTTGGGCTGCTCAATTTCGCAAGCTGCCACCACGTCGGCAAAGCTGAGCTCCCTTCCTCCGACAAAAGGCTGCTTACCACCGTTCAACCATTCCCGTTCGAACAGATCCAAACAATCGACCATATTCGATCGCAGGCGATCCACCTTTTTCGGATCGACTTCCATCCCCAGCAGCGGAGTCATCCAAGTGTATAAGAAAAACTGAGCGCACTGGGCCCGGATGTTGGCATGTTGCCATTCCAGATACTCGTCTACGCGGGCTCGTGTTGAACGCTCCGTCGGATACCACCGGTCATCGAATTGGAACTCTCGGGACAAGTACCGGAAAATGGCAATGGTTTCCGCTAGCTTAAAATCCCCGTGGATGATGCACGGCACCTTCCCGAAGCGGTTCACGCTCTCCGCGAACTCAGTGGTTCTATTTTCAACTGGAATTTTGGTAATTTTAATTCAACAACTTTGGACTTTAAATTTGGTTCAAAAACTCGCATACATTTCCTCAACGCCACCGGGCACTTTTCGTACGGTATTTTCGTCTGTTCCAGTAGGATGTACAATGCACGGGATGGCTGTGATAGCAGATCGAAGTAGTACTTGAGGGCACGGTTGGCCATGATCTTAAATTTAAATGACAGTCTGAAGTGAAAAGGTCGTCTATCTTTGTGCGAAAACTGAAGGTTATGACTGGTAAGTTTTTGGTTTGTCTTATTTATGATCCTCCAAGCTCAAAGTCCACCCGGTTCAACTACCAGCGCATCGCACCATTGGCATATACATATAGCAAACTGATAAGTGCCATGGGCGCTTGTATACGAGCTGTTTGCATTTTGTGTATGTGCTGAGATGCTGCATAAAAGTATGCGTTCGGCTGTTGATATGGTTGATATGCTCGTATGCTATCTTTCTGCAGTGTCAGAATCTATGCTTGGTGACGTTTGGAATCATTGTGAGGGGAAGGAATTATACGTGGTTTTTAAACTCTCGCATCAAATCTAAAATCGTTTTTTTGCCGTTAGCCAGCAAAATGATGCTGGATTTTGCCGAGCTGCAAGTTCAGTATCTTTCTAACAAAATATTATATTCTCTGCGGAATTGCCTTGGAATGAATGCTTCACGAAAATCTCCTGTAAATGTACTTTTGAATCCTACTCAAAACTACCGAACTACCTTGGAACTCTCTTTACGTGTCACCTTGAATCTGGAGTTCCTCGGAACTAATTCGAAAGGAATCCTCAAATTTAGCAAAATTCATATTTTGATGTTCTCGCTTGAAATTATTCATTAGAGATCCTTGGAAATTCTCATCAAATTTAGTCCTTGAGGTCCATAAACTTTTTTTTTTTACTTTTGCGAGGCTCTTAATTCATTTGAAATCCAGGGTCTTGGAATTTAATCTTGTAAGTGCTTACTACCTCAGTTGGGAGCGATCCTGAGAATCCCTGACTACAATGGCCTCAGGGTCGGCACGCTTACCGAACTAGGTTCCACGTGGCAAGGAATGATCGCACTGGATACAGCAAAAACTCCTACAGCACTTCAATATTCAAAATAACCACTATTTATTGTCGGATTATACTAACACGTCTATTCCTCCCTACGTATGTAACTCTCCCACTTTCTTAATTCCTATCTGACCTGTTTCTGTTGTCTTTCCCTTCTTCTTCGGGGCCCCTTGCAGATCCACCACCAAGTTTCCTCGACGACTGCTTCACTCGGCTCCACGTTCCACCTTCTTCCTTCTCTCCTTCGGCGGCGTTGGAAATCTCCTTCGCGCGCTATTCCACTTTTTATGCTGGCTGGGCCACCGAGTGTGTTGACGGACTCGGCTTCGGCGGCCACTATATTCTGTCACAGTAATGTTTCTTATATTTCACCAGAGACTATCGACCGTTTACCTTGATGGTTATTTGATGATAGACCTGATCGGTGTATGTAGCCTAGAAATACGTTCTTTGGGTCACTGTCCTTTGACTATTGGTCAGTGACCCAGGCCATTCGTTTTTCATCGCCAGTCATCGTGTCCGTTATGCCGTTTGTAATGGCCTTTCGTCACCTCTCATGGCCGCCTAAATGCTGCTTTTACTCCATCTGGTGGTGGGTTTTGTAGACTACGGTGGGTGGATGGCTGCGTAATACTGTAGGCTACTCTACTCTGGCCTACCAGGGAGATTTACTGACGGAGAAAAACTGTACACATACACGAACATTACTTGCCATGATTTTTCAACATAATAACGAGTACTCTACACGATATTCTAAAAATTACTCGACACTGAAACGTGAACACTCACAATCTATCAAGCTGAACATTGCACTAGGTCCGAGATTAGGTCCTAAGTAACATTGACAGAGTCTCTTCATCGACTTTATCTTTGTATCCCCATGGCCATGTAAAGACATTCTCGGATATTTTCAGCACACAGATCGATAAAAGAAGCTTTTATCTAGCTTCTAAATCGACAATCGCTGCAAGAAACGGTTATGTGCTCAAGTTATTAACGAAAGAGAAAGTCGACGAAGAGAATCGATCAATGTTACTTAGGGGCTGTCCATAAACTACGTAGACAGTTTAGGGGGGGGGGGGTTGGCAATTATCCACGGCCCATACAAATTTTAATAATTTTGTATGGACAATTGTCTACGCAGGGGGAGGGGGGGGGGTCAAGAATCCCAAAAAATTGTCTACGTAGTTTATGAACAGGCCCTTAGGACCTAATGCAATGTTCAGCTTACTATGTCTGCAGTCGTGCATATTTATTTTCGTCCCAAATTCTCGAAAATTTCTCCAAGTTAAATTTCATTAGGTCCAGGATTTAAAAAGAAAGCCGAAGTTTAAAATCTGCTTAAATTATCCATGTTCCTTAAATGAATCTTAAAAAATACAATTCAAGCTCAAGAATTTATGTTGTTACTGAAGATAAATCCACTTAAGAATTATTATGTTCAAAGAGTAAAAGTAACTAAAGAGGAAGATGAAGTTCACACCTGGATAGAGATGATCTTTGTGCAAATGTGTGCTGAGTCAGAAAAATCTCTGTATGTTGAAGTAGTTCAAAGCCATAAACAGGCTTTCCAGGTCCAGTGTTATTTCCCCAGTAAGCTCAAATAGGGCAAGCTCCTTCTGAATAACTTCGTTCAGGATCGGTTACCCCCGTGGTGGCACATTTCTCGTCCCAGTGAGCTGCTGGCTCCTAGCTTCCAGCCAGGGGTTGAAACAGTTGATGTTTTTTACTACACTCGCTTCGGTGTCGTGCGCGACAGTCTGTTTGTATTCGTACTCTCATGCTCTACTGTCGTCTCTCTTACACAACACAAACGGTAGAATAACAATCGAGCACAAATAAAACTATAAAATAACTATCATATGACATGTGTGATTTCGTTCTAATTCATCAATTGGATGTAAATTAAACCTTTTCTGATCAGAAATGATATTACTAGGACATCATTGCTTGCTATTCTCAGAATTCACACAAGCACAGCATCAGCAACTCTTATTATGAGAAAAAAAACTAAAATACATACATTCGTCACGGTCTTCGAGAGCCTGTCATATGACATTTTAGTTTGGTACTGTACTATGATAGCTTGTTTAGCAAATGTCGGAAGCAAAGGCAGTCGATTATCACAGAAAATGCGTCGTTTACGGTGACCGCTTACAAGACTGCGAGTTCCAGCTCTTCCTCAAGAGACGGTTCCTTGTTGTTGTCCGATTCAGCAGATAGGACGTCGAACGTAGGATCATCTGACGACAACTAGTAAAGGCGTTCGCATTCTCCCGTCACAAATTCAACCAACTGGTTACGGGGGGCTGGCTGGTCACATCCTACATTTCATTAGAAATTTTCTCTGCGGCCGGACCTTCCAGGTCCTAATCGGGAACCACCACTCCTCAATTCGAGCGGAAGAGACAGGAGTCCCACAGGGTTCCATCATTGCGGTCACTATTTTCCTGGTCGCAATGAACGGGATCTTTGAGGCTCATTTTCCAAAGGAGATTTATATTTTCGTTTATGCAGACGACGTAATTCTCTTGGCAATTGGCCGTACCCTCAAAGTCCTACATAGGAAACTTCAGGCAGCTGTATCAGCCACACAAAGATGGGGTCCCAGGTGGGATTCATGCTCTCAGCCGATAAAAGCGTAGTCTCTCATATCTACCGATCCTCACACCGTTCGTCCATTACAATCAGCCATTAAGTGTGATGGTACCACAACACCTTTTCGGAAGACGGTCACAATACTTGGGGTGCTCTTGGACAGGACGTTAAGCTTCGCTCCTCATTTTAACAATGTTCGGAACAGCTGCCGCACAAGACTTAGCTTGTTGCGGACACTTTCCTGCCCTCATCGTAGTAACAACAGGAACATTATGCTTAGGGTAGCAAAAGCCATCGTCAACAGTAAAATCTTCTACGGAATTGAGATTTTCTGTACGGCTAGTGACCTCTTCATTGCGCGGCTAGGTCCCACTTATAATCAAGCCATCCGTATTGCAGATCGGCTCCTACCGTCCACTCCTGCGGATTCGGCATGTGTCGAATTCGGTGTCCTGCCTTTCCGGTACCAAGTTGCCGAGACCCCGGTAAGCAGAACAATAAGCTATTTGGAGAAGGCTGCCGGAAACGAAGGGGAAAATAGCTCTAAGGAACTTGGCCCATCAGGAGCTCCCCCCCCCCCAGTGTCGAGACTACATTGGACCGGAACCAGAGGATGGACAGAACCAAGCCTTCGCGTTGACCTCTCGGCTGCTAGACGATTCCAGGCTGGTTACAACTCGCGAGAAATGCACGCATACGTGACTGAACTGCTTCGTACGAAATACTCCGACCACCACCACAGATATACGGATGACTCTAAGACCTTGGGAGGAGTCGGCCTTGGAATTTCAGATCCCAATGCCAGTTTTTTTTTCCGACTCCTGGACCAGTGTTCTCTGCGGAAATTGCGACAATCTTCCACGTCATTACCATGCACGCCAGCAAACCGCTCTGTATCCTTTCGGGCTCTGCAAGTGTTCTAACAGCTTTGGAATCCCAGACATCCAGACATTGCGACATCCAGGGGAATTGTGAAGCAGACCATCTTGCGGTTACGGGCCGAGCTGGAAGGCTCGCTACTAAAACCGTTCCAAGACTTGGATGAAGTTCAATCTTTGGAATGATTGGGCCCAGGGCCAGCAAAAGAGAACCGTTCCTTCGTTAAATCAAAGGGGATACCACTATTTGGCCCCGTAACGTGGGTAGATCACTTTTTCGTGGTACGTTACGGGATGTAAGATCTACCACCGATTCCTAGTCCTGACTACTTCAAACTAGGAGAACAGGATTTTCAGTAATCCAAGGAACGCATCTTAGTCCTTGTTACTTTTCATGCCTTGTTGATAGTAACAAGACTCGGCTTTGCCTACCGAGGATGATCTTGAAACAAGGAAAAAAATGAGTTGGTTGTCTTCATTTATGTGATTCCTAATCTTCTATTCGTTGTTCCCTAGTTTGAAGTGGTTAAGACTAGGGTTCTGATGCATGGTCATTATCGGTGTCATACCTTAATTTTGTTGCTAAGGAATCCAATTTTGAATGACAAAGGGGCGTGCCTTTGGAGGGTATTGCAACACTCCGAAGGGTATAAATAGCGGGACCTTTCAATTAGAGTCGGATCCTTGCGATAAAGGCAAGAGTGGCAACTGTAAAAAAATCGAATATTTCATCATTTCTCAATAGTGATGGAGTAATACGACATGTACTAAACTAAGGACACG